TGGCGTTCTGGGTACTTAAACCAACAAAGTTACCTCGGATTCATCTCTTAACTATCTGTTTTGCATGTACAGATATACTCCGAGTTCCGGCTGGCCAAGTACCCCGACGTGACGCCGCTCATCACGGACTACGCACAGGGCACCGACCCAGTGAATTCGGTTGGGCCCTACTGGGAGCAGCCCGGGCGCAACAGGCTCGTCAACCACCTCCTGGACATCCCGCCCGCGACCGAGGCCATGCCCGATAAGTTCTACGATTGGCAGCGGGTCTTCTTCACAGGCGCGTCCCGTCCCCTCCGCTCCTCTGTGTATAATATACTAATTATGAATTCGAAACACAGGCAACCACTACCCGCACCTCCCCTCGCCGCTCCCTGTCATCCTGCGCAAGACAATGACCTGGCAGAACCTGCAGGAGTACCTCCGCACGTGGTCCTCGCTGCACACATACCACGAGAAGTTCCCGGAGGACCGGAACCGTCCGGAAGGCGATATCTGCGCGCGGTTCTGGACGAAAATGAAGGAGAAGGCCGGGGAGGCGGAGGGGCGCGCGTTGAGCGCAGAGGATAAGGTTGAGCTAGAGTGGCCGTTGGCGTTGTGCTTGGTCAAACGGGCGTAGATAGGATAGGTGGAATTAGCGTAATAGCTAGGTAAGTCTTCGATAGTCCAGTGCACTTGTACGTCTTGCAGCAGTCGGTTCTAAGCATCATGAGGCGATACAAGGGGCCAATGCGCACCCATCAGTCAGGGCGATATGGCCAGTGACGGTGCACGGTCTCTGGATCTTCCCCGTTCGTCTCTACCCATATTTCCTCCAGCTGCTTGTTCCTGTCAATTGCTTCGGTGTATATATCGTTGGGTACCCATCCCTCGTAGGTGCATCCAATGAGTTCGTCCACACGAGCTTTGGCATCCTGCCCAGCTTGCCAGTCTAACGCTTCCTCGTGATACACTCTCATCTCCTCTTCGGAAAAGGTGATTGGGCATGGCACGTCAGAGCCAGCGACTTCGGACCAGCGGGCATATATGCGCAGGAGACATTCTCGTAGTTTCATAAATCCGTGAGGCCAGACACTGAAATTTGACAGGATAAAAGGACAGCTCTCCCGTAGGGAAAGAAAGAGCGCGATGATACTGGGGGTTCAAACGGTCGCAGCACTGCTCATATAGCTTGTGGCGATTTACTCGGACTATGTCATCTTTGACAGCCATCTGTGCACCTTCATCAAGGCTATCAAAGTCGTCCGGCAGTGCGAGGAATATTCCCAGGTGGCACGGGGGTAGCACCCCCATAGCGAAACATATTCGGGACGTACGCTTGGAGATAGAATGGAAGCAGCGCAGTGTGTTGCCAGTCAATGACAGACGTTATGACGACCTCTCCGCGGTGGAGGGACTCTTCAGATAAGAAGACATTGCTGAGGTGGACGTCATGTGACCAGAGGAGTGGCCTTGTAAGGTCCGGGTCACGGGGAACAAGATATAGAACTACAGCCATATATTGATCCAGAAGGGAGAGGTGGATATGCGGCTTCAACAGGTGCTCAGGAGAGTCGAATATGCCGGCTTCGCTGACCGGGCTTGCATATTTCTCTATCCACTATCGCTCACAGGTCGCTATGGCAAGAACATAGGATAACGGGTTATCCCCTGTAGATGATGCATAAGGCCGACGTATCAGAGGAAGCAAAGTAAGGACGTACAAGGTCCGTGGTCTACATCCGTGCTCGATCGATCGATGGACCAGAAGTTCCTGGAGACGCGAGGACCCTCGACAAAGTCGGCGTCACGCTTGCCTCCAACGGAAAGACCTTGACCTTGAGAGTGCTTTAAGGACGCCCTGCGATAGAGACTACCGTATCCCCCAGATATAGGGGCCATGAGGGACTTCTCCAGTATTGCCCACTTCATAACCATTTGCTGCTGCTGGCTCTCAGACAGTTTTGGCCACACAGCAGAAGCCTCTACACCGGGAGCCTTTTCCATGATTATGTATTCTGGTTCCACAGGAGTTTGATCGCTTCGGGACGACCAGGCGAAAACGGCTGGTGCGGGAACACCCAGGCGATTACGCACGAAGTCCATCGTCGCGACTTCGCTAGCGGTAACAAAATGCAGCGGGCCTGCATGTGGCGTCCTGATACGCGCAATGACCTCCTTGGAATTGTCGAGAGACAGAAGGAATACTTTATTATAGGAACCCTCGGCCAGCTTCATCATACTAATGACAGCTCCTCCACGTTGAATCTGCAATATCGAGCGGAGAGTTCAGTCTTTTCGTTGTGTATCCACCTGCCGGAGGTGTAGCGATAGAAGTCTTCATAATGACTTGAGTATACAGCGTCGTTGAAAGTGTCCTCTAGCGGAGCGACCGGTGACGCACACAAGCCCCAGCATACTTCAAGTTATTTCGAATAGTATGAATGCTAGAGCCGGACGCCTCTCCGTTGAATCGTGCTGAAGCCTAGCTGGAGATTGGAAGCGGCAGCTAGTAACGAGCGGAATGGTCATATGCCAGTTATTCCGGGTTTGTGGGTCCCATTGCGGTGACAAGACATCGCTATTAAGTACTCAAAAAATTGCATCTGAGAGGAAAGACTGACCATCAGCTACTAGGGAGGCAGGGCGTCAGAGCCTCGTACGAAGAGTAATACACTACGGTCTACCGCAACTTGTCTGCTCCAGGAGTACTTGCCATGATCGATAGCTCGGACTCCCGAGATGCAGCCCCCGAGTCGGCCCGGCCAGTGGCCACAGGGAGGCTACCTTGCTTCCGATTGGCCACCGTCATCCTGCGGACCGATTCGGAAGCGTCATTCCCTTTCTTGGTTAAAGAGGCATCGTGTTTAAGCCTTAAGCAACCTTTAGATCGCCCCGTAAACAAGAAGCTTGCTCGGGCCCGAGCCGGCATACCAGCAGCTGGAGCAGACTCTGTCATTCTCCCTGTACCCCTATCCCAAATAGAAAAATGTATGAATAAATAATCTGTACAGTATACGGTGTACTGGCCAGCTGAGGAAAATGTCCAGGAGCTACAGACTCGTCGAGTCCTGTCTCCTAGGTGAATGGCTTGAAGTCGGCATTCAAAAAATCCGAAACAGCTTCCACTACTAATGGACGTTAACTGCCATGCTCCTCTAGAATAGTACATTTGAAAATGGACAACTGGACTACCGTAGACACCTGACTGTCATAGTGATCAAGGCCGAACCCCGCGAACCCTTTTACTGCCTCTTGGCGGATGTTAAGAATCATCTCGCTCGCCAAGACGGAGGGGATAGAGAACATCCAAGCGATTGGCATGCTCGCAGCAAGGGGCGGGGACAGGTATATGCCCAAAGAGCCGACAGCGAAAATGATGACAACGCTTTCACCAAGTCAGATGCTTGACCACTACTAATACACTTCCCAGAGCGAATGGACTCACCAGATGTAATACCACAAAGAGTCTCTTGTCACGAGAAACATGAGCAGGCCACCGTAACCCTCGTAAGTACGGATACCTATTCTGGATCGCATCTTGAGATGTTGACTTCTCCCGTAGACAAAGAAAAGCAGCATAATAACGTCGAACACAAGAGTGGGCATACTGCCCAGAGGTTGTGCGGATATATGTCACACCCCATCACTGATATAAATTCTGCAAAGACTCACAAGCAAGTGTGAAGGCCATATACGTTCCGCGGGCCAGCTACTCCAGGTACAGCAAAGGGCACTATAGACAGATACACGGACCACGCCGTGGTACCTGCGAATAGACTGGTGATAACCATGAACATGTCACGTCCTGCACGCAAGCGAGAATATTAACGTCGTTCGCGCTACTCCATGCCTTCACTCACTTTGTTCGCAGAGTGCATGTAGCCTGAGCTGTAATATAACTGCTGCCCGTGAACAAAAAGAAGTCATGGGGCTAACATGCGTCATACTTTCTACAACTGTAATCAGCCCGAGACCTGAATAACGCTGATCAAGCTGATATACACAAATGTTCCACATTCGACTCACCTGCCCACACAACGAGTCCGAAAAGCCCGGACGTAATTTGCTCACGAAGAGGATCTGGATTACAGAGTAATCTCAACTGACTGACGACGGGGCGTAGTCGTCAAAGAAGAACATACGCGGTCTCATAGGGTGAGAGCATATCTCAGCCTATAGGTAGCGGCATTCGCAGCTGAAGACTCACTCAAGATCGAGCATGACAACTGTGAAGCAGATCCAAATGGAAGTGCTGATGTCCATAGTCAAGTTCGGACTTACAGGCAGTGGTAGAT